TTAAAGTAGGTCTTCAATTACCTGGATATAGTAGTGCTTTGCTGCCACCATCAAACAGACCTGGTGCTCTAATGTCAAGTTGTTCGTGGGACAGTTGCTGGTATGTCTTCATTGGCTCTATAAAGTGTGGCCAAGAAGATGGGCTCTCAGAGTAAGAAGTCTGTGCTGGTGGTCAGGAAGAACTTTTTGTCTCTCTTAAGTCCCTGGTATCTGGCATAAATCTCTCCAACGCCAATGTGTGGATCTGGGTGGGATGATGGACTCTGCTCTGTCTGCTCAATGCTGCTGTGCAGAGAGTAGCATTTTGAAAAGCTACCTAATGCATAAGCTTTTTAATGCTGTAAAATATAGCTGAAATTAAATGCCACTTTTTCAAAGGTGAATTAATGGACAGCCTGGTCAAATTCAAAGCTTTTTGTTGTATAAAACTTTATATATGGAACTATTCCATCAATAGGCAAAGTGTAACCAAAACCTGTCTAGATGGATAGTATGTAATTTCTGCACAGGTCTCTGTTTAGTAAATACACCACTGTATACCGGTCAGGAAATCTTGCTCCAATAAAGGAACATAAAGATTTTTTTTGGACTGGGATCATTCTCCTTGTTTTGTAGAAAAACGTTACTTTCTTTGGATTGGATAATGTATTAGTGACTGGGGAAGGAGGGGGGGCTGCTCAAATAGTTTAGTAGGAATTATTCCATAGGTAACAGGATTGAGCTGGTTGGCACAGAAAAAAAATATATATATAATTTTTTTTTTTTTTTTTTTTTTTTTTTGTAAATTGGGTTTTACCTGGGCTGGGATTGAACTGGTCTTCCTGCCTCAGCTTCCTAAGTAGCTGAATTGTAAAATTTGTGCCTGGCTCATAAAAATGTATTTACATCATAATTGGGTATTTTTTATAGTTGTAGACAGACACAATACCTATGTTTTTATGTGGTGCTGAGGATTGAACCCAGTGCCTCATATGCAAGGCAAGTGCTCTACAGTTGAGCCACAACCCTCGCCCCAATAATCGGGTATTTTTTTATGTTGTAGTCTTAGCATTGACTCCTAGAAATTTAGTAATTTATTAATATTTCAGCTTCTGATAGTGTTTCATGAAGGTTATCACTTGCCACACAACTGGTTTTATGTACATGTGAGATTCTAGTTTTGTTTATTTTTAATACATATGTATATTTGCTGTCCCCCACCTCCACTCCCAATAGTGGAAATTGAACCCAGGGGTATTTTACCATTGAGTTTTGAGTTGGGGTCTTGCCAAGTTACAGAGGCTAGCCTTATGCTTGTGATCCTCCTGGTTCAGTCTCCTGGAGTTGCTGGGATTGCAGGTGTGACTACCACACCCAGCCAATTTATATTTCTGAGGAATCTTCTGTTCCCAGGACAGCCTTATTAGTGGGCCCAAGCAGTTCTGCCTCAAGCCTCCTGAATAACTGGTACTGGGGGCATTGTGTCATTGTGCCCAGCTATAACATAATGTTCCTTTATTTTGGGGGGTATATATCAAAAGTTGGGGTCCTTTTAAAGTAATAGTTCCCCCCCCACCCCCTACCATTATTGTTAATTCTCTAGATACTCCCTCTGTATATACAAATCTTTCAAGAGTACTAAGCTGTGGAGAAGCAAAATGGTAATCTTTGGTTCCTGAACATTCCTGGAATATCCATTGTACCTGTGTCCTGTTATAAGAGGGATTCTAGTGTGAATGGTAAAGGATTAGATATATCTCAAAGTATTCTCTTGCTCAAGGAGAAAGAACAAGTGGCTTGATTTAGTAGTTTCCATCTTTGGAGGGTATTGTATATTTTCAAACCTGTGCCATACTTTGCTTAGGAGGGGGATTTAACTGCATGAATTGGGATAGAGGACACTAGCTTGCAAGGTATAAACAGTTTCAAAACCTTAAGGAATGCTGTTTAAGACCATTCCTGAAGTTAAAGATGACTTTCTCCAATGATTTAAAAAATACAATAACTGTTCCCTGACCTCCCTCCATAATAAGCTTTCTTCACCTTCAGTACTAGGGATTTAATCCAGAGGCACTCTCCCCTACAGTTTTTTGTTTGAGACAGTGTCTTGCAAATTCCTCCAGGGTGACACCAAATTGAGATTCTTCTGCCTCAGCTTCCTGATTTGCTAGGATTACAAGTGTGCACCACCATGTTCAGCTAACATGCAGAGTTTAAATGATCCACAAAGTACCTGGATGCTATGTTTGGCTGACAATGTTACTTTGCATTCAATCCACCTATGGGTTTCTAAAAGAAATTTGTAATATATGGATATTGGGGGCTTGTAGGTACCAGGACTCCTAACAATTGTGCATATGGGTTCGTTTTAGTAACAACTAGCTTCATGGTTTCACTTAGTTCCCCCCAAAGTATTTACCCCCTTAGGTTTTTGCAATGAACCCTTTAAAAGTGTCACCATAATGCAGTTCTGTTACAAAATGAAGACTCCTGAGAGAAGTTTTGTTTCATTTGTAATTTCCATAATTTGGGTGAGACTTTACTTTTTGCTTACTGTATATGTTCTCAGTGACTGTGTGTGTGCATGGGGGGAGTAAGTTTTTTTGTGGGCCTCAAACATGGAAGTATTCTACCTAGGAGCCACATTCTCAGCCCTGAGTTGAGTGAATACTATGTATTTTCTAGAGTCTGCACCACCCCAGCAATGACCATTCCCATTAGAATGTGATCACTGTTACAAGTTTACTTTTTAACAGGTCTGAGGAAAGGACTAGTTGTGATTAGAATAAGAATAGTGGCAAGGACTTAAGTGGAGCCTGTGTATGTCAACTTGAATAGTTGGTGAAATTGTGTACTGAGAATCTACCCAGAGACTAAATGTAGATGGGCTGCAGTACTGAGAGCCTTAAAGAATTAAGCAGCCCTGGACTTGGTTTTCCCATCCTGGACACATTAGATGGATTCTGCTACCTCTGGACTCCTTCCCCTTCTTGTGAGGCAGTGAAAGTAACGCTTAACAGCAAACTGTCAGCTTCCTGGGTGCACAATGGATAAATGGGTCCTGGAGCTGAGAAGTGAACACCTTCCTGTGGAGAGTTATGTGGCATTTGGCTTCCAGAAGTAGTGACATTCACCCATCAAGTCTAATAGATATTTTTAGTGTTAACTGAACTGATTGTACCTTTGGGCAACTCAAAAAGAGAATAGCCTTGCTAGTTTGGTTTGTGTTTTTCTTTTTTGATGAGACACAGTCAACTGGGGCTTTTTACTTATAAATGATGAATGATAATAGCTCAGGATAACTCTCAGTTTAAGGAGCCTACTATGCTACTATGGTTCTAGAACTTGGAAGTCTGAGGTGAGAGGATCCCTTGAATCCAGGAGGTTGAGACCAGCTTGGGACACAAGTGGTTTTCCTTCAATTAAAGCACTGGAGGGCACTTAGTCCAGGTGAGGGTCAATATTTCACCCTCTCCTCTGATGAAGCACCTTCCAGTGAAGTCAGCATAAAGGGCTGGCAAGCACAGGATGCCAAGAAGTTGCCAGCTATAGACCAGGTAGCAATAACCAGGTTCTCCCACAGGCAGAAGCTTCAGGCCGTTCCCAAAGCACCTCATGGAACTAGTTAATTTGCTGAGATAGTGGCTATTTCTCAAGGTACAAATGTCTTTTCTCTGGACTTTTCAGGAAAGGAAAAGTGGCTGAATTTTTTTTTTTCCTTTTAGTTGTCAATGGACCTTTCCTTTACTTATTTATATGCGGTGCTGAGAATTGAACCCAGCCTCACACATGTTAGGCAAGCACTCTACCACTGAGCCACAACCCCAGCCTCCTGAGAGAAGTTTTGTTTCATTTGTAATTTCCATAATTTGGGTGAGACTTTACTTTTTGCTTACTGTATATGTTCTCAGTGACTGTGTGTGTGCGTGTGGGGGGGGGTACCAGGGACTGAACCCAGGGGCAATAACCACTGACCCACCTCCCTAGCCCTTTTTATTTATTGATTGATATTTATTTTTTAGTTGTAGTTGGACACAATACCTTTATTATTTATTTTTACGTGCGGCTGAGGATCGAACCCAGGGCCTCGCACGTGCAAGGCAAGCGCTGTACCACTGAGCCATCACCCCAGCCATTTTATTTAAATATATGTAGTTGATGGACCTTTATTTTATTTATTTATATGCGGTGCTTAAACTTTGAACCTAGTGCCTCACACATGCTAGGCAAACTCTAACACAGACATTTGGGACACGGTCCTGATAAGGCTAGCTTTGAACTTGCGATCCTCCTGTCTCAGCCTCCCGAGTGGTTGAGGTGACTAATATCTAGACAGGGCCAACCCGTGGGGGACAACGGTTTGGGATTAGCCCATTTGACACCAGGCGCGTTAGGGGCAGGAGCCAGGTCGCTGGGATGGGCATGGGGACACGTGCGGGAGAGCCTGGGGCGTAGGAAGAGGCTACCCCAGCAGGGAGGGGGCCCGCTACCCAAGCAGTGCTCCGCGACTGGTAGGGGGCGCTGTCCCCACTCCGGCCGACCCGCGTGAGCACGCGGCCGGGCAAAGCTGGAGGAACCCGGACTGGGGAAATGCCCTTCCTGCCCCTCCATTCCCGGGAGCATCAGTGTCACACCGAGCCGGAACTGCAGCCTCAGGAGACCAAGCGCGGGGCCCATTCCCGCTCAATTCGGACCCGCGGCTGCGCTGCGGTCTCGGATTTAGGAGAGGGGTCTGGGGCGCTGCTGCGACGCGGCAGAGAGGCGGCGCTGGTCGCGCGGGTCTCGGGAGGGGGCGCCTGATCCCGCGTCTTCCGCGCCGCCTCCCGGGAAGTTTCAAGTTTGAAAGCGCTGGCGGAGGAGCCGGGGCTTCCGGAACCAGAGTGGACGAGAGGAGGGGCCCGAGCGGCCCGAGCGGCGCCATGGAGGAGGGGGCGCCGCGGCAGGTGAACGGCGTGGGCGAGGCCGGGCTGCGCGGGCCGAGGGGCGCGGGCCGCCTTGTCCGCAGTCTCCGGAGTCCAGAGCTCGGCTCGTGGCCCCGCCCCGCTCCCAACCCTCCAGTGTCGCTGACCGCGACGCCTTCTCAGGGCAGACCCGAGCCCCGGGTTAATTAGCTAATGGTCCCTGGGTTCCTCGGAGCCTCTAGTCCGGCCAGCCCAGAGCTTGTCCGAAACTGCAGTGGGTGCAGCCTGGGAGGGCGCCACAGTTCCCTACAATCGGTTCTTCCAGAACTCCAAGGCCCAGGGGAATTACCCGAGAAAGCAAAGAGGGGCCCAGTGGCACTTGGGAAGGTGCCCGGGGGCAAGGAGGTGTGCACGCAGTGGGTAGGGGTCCAGTCTGTGTGCGCTTGTGGGGCGCTCACCCCAGAGCACATGGGGCACATGGGCGACGTGTAAGCCAGAGAGGCGCCCAGCCTAACCGCGGACTAGAATCTTTGGGTACACAAGGGTTTCCAGAATGTGGGGGGGTGGGGGTCAAGGCTTCTACCCCTAGTTGGCAGTAGGTGTGCTGTGGGCCCAAAGAGCTTAGTGTGTGTGTGTGTGTGTGTGTGTGTGTGTGTAACTCACTGAGGAGAGAGAAGTGGTATCCTATCCCAGAGCAGCTGTGAGATAGGCTTAGACTAGGACATTTGTTTACCAGATAGGGTCCCAGTTCAGAGCAGAAAGGGGGAAGGGTGTGTGTGTCTTTGTATGTCTGTGTGTGTCTTCAGGCTTCCAGCCCAGAGCACACCAGCTATGGGGTTCAGGGGTGAGGTGTAGTAGGCAGGGACTCCTCCAGTGTCCCCACCCCATGACTTAGGCAGCCTTCAGGGCTGGGTCTACTCCTCCCACCCCCTTCCTCCGGAGGTCCTTCTGCCCCTGTCCCAGCCCTAGCCTGTACACATTTTCCAATTTCCTGCAGCCTCCGCCCTGCAGCAAAGGCTGGGTGACTCAGGACCCTGGTGGCTGGTCCCCCAGCTCCAAGAGATCTTTGTTTTCTCAGGCCTTTGGCTTTGGCCCTCTTGCCTGGGGCGGCCAAAGGATTTCCTGAACCTCGCCCTTGCCCTCTGACTGCCTGGCCAGGCGGCCCAGCAGAGACCTAGAGTGGGGGGTGTCTGAGGCTGGGTAGCCACCTTTCCACTGGGCTCAGGAGATGGAACCAAGAGAGGTGAGACAGGGGTTGCTGCGGAGTCCCTTGGGGACATCATGGGTTACTCGGGGCAAGATCAGCTCTGACACTGGTCTGTTTGCAGCATTGGCCTCTGGAGAGGGGGTTTTCTTCTTCCTGGCTCCAACCAGGGTGAATAGTGAAGGAGACTTCTGCTTCCTCCTAGAGCTGAGCTGGGAATGGCTGCCTCTGTGGCATCGGGAAAGCAGAGGAACAGACCTTGGCCTCTTGGGCCATTGACTGCCTTCTCCTTGTGACTTTGGGTGAATTCCTTTTTGGCAGTGAGCTTTTTCTGACTCCCAGATTCTACTCTGGTTTCCAGGCTTAGAGAGACTGGGTGGCCAGCAGGGAGAGGCATGGTGGCCTCTTCTCTGTTGCCACTGTAGGCAAGCTGCTTGACCTCTCTGGGTCCATTCCTCATGTGTAAAATGGGAATATTAACCGCTCCAAGGCGCTGAGTGTACAGCTCAGGGGTGGAGTGCTTGCCTAACATTCATGAGATACCAGGTTCCATTGCTAACACAAAGATAAAATAAAATCTCTGCTCCTACTTGGTGGGGTTACCGTGAGTCACAGGAGGCAATGTCTGCAGAGCTCTTAGACTAGAACCTGGTACCTGGTAAGCATATTTATGAACCTTACTTACTTCCCCTTCCCCTTCTCTAAATGGCAGAGGACAGGAGCTTCACGTGTGGCTGTGAGGTTTCTACCCCTGAGCTCAGTGGACAGAGAAACCTCCCAAACGTCCCCCTTGATGCTGTCCACTCCTCTTCCCTATGATGGAGGCTGCAGGTCATGACACCTCTCCACCCTCCTCTAGCCAGGGCCAGGCCAGAGATCCCCAGAGGATGAGAAAGAGGTGATCCGTCGGGCCATCCAGAAGGAGCTGAAAATCAAGGAGGGTATGGAGAATCTGAGGCGTGTGGCCACAGACCGCCGCCATCTGGGCCACGTGCAGCAGCTGCTGCGATCCTCCAACCGCCGTCTGGAGCAGCTGCATGGCCAGCTGCAGGATCTGCATGCCCGTGTGTTGCTGCCCAGCCCGGCTGGTGAGTGAGGAGTCAATGGACCCCAAGGGACAGGAGGCTCCAGGTCACCCAACTCCTTGCTTTGGCCCTGACCACTGTATCAGATTGCCACACTTCTCATAGTGCCATCCCTAGTATGCCCGGGAGGGGAGGGAGGAAAGATTTGGTCACAGGGATCTTGGCTCTGGTGACTGGTTTGTGTGCCCCACACTCCCTGGACACAGAGCCTGTGGCCTCTGGCCCCCGGCTGCAGGCAGAGCAGTCACGGGCTGGGCACCTGGAGGCCCTGCGGAGGCAGTTGCAGGTGGAACTGAAGGTGAAGCAGGGGGCTGAGAACATGACGCACACGTGTGCCAGTGGCACCCCCAAGGTAAGGCCCTTGGGGTCTGATGGGAAGGCATTGTCCCCGCCCCCAATCTGATGGGAGAGGCTTGGCTCTCAGACCTCAGGTCAGGTAGAGATCCAGCCCCTATTCTGACAGGGAAATGCAAGCAGCCTTGGGCCCTGTGAGGGAGATACAGTGTCAGCCCTTAATCTGGTGGTGGAGTAGAGCTTCAAACCCAGCTGGTGGGCAGGCATGGCTCTGACCCACAGGCTAACAGGGGAAGTTTTAACCCTGTTATGGGGTGTTGTGGGGAGACTCTGGCCCAGCCATGGTCCAAGGGGCATATGTCACATCCCCATAGGAAAGAAAGCTCCTGGCAGCTGCCCAACAAATGCTGCAGGATAGCCAGCTGAAGGTGGCCCTGCTGCGGATGAAGATCAGCAGCCTGGAGGCCAGCGGATCCTCTGAGTCAGGTGAGGCCTTTGAAGCAGCGAGGGCTGCTTGGGCTGGGCCAGACCTAAGGCCAGTATCCCCTCAGGCCCTGAGCTTCGGGCAGAGGAGCTACAACATCGGCTGCACATTGAGACAGCCGTGGCCGAGGGAGCCAAGAACGTGGTGAAGCTACTTGGTGGCCGCAGGATACAGGACCGCAAAGCCCTGGCTGAGGTCAGGCCATGTCCCTTCCCCTTGTAGCTTGTGCCTGAGGGTCTGCTTATCTCCATTTCACCCTGGGAAGTGGCATGGGGCACCATGGACTGGCTGCAGGGTGGCAGTGGGAAAAGAGGCATGTTGTGTCAGACCTCCTGTGGGGGTGTCTTTAGCATGGCAGCTGCCCTCCCTCATGTATCCCATGACCTGTCCCTGCTTCTGTCCCTGGTGTAGGCCCAGCTCCAACTGCAGGAATCCTCCCAGAAGCTGGACCTCCTGCGGCTGGCCTTGGAGAAGCTGCTGGAGGAATTACCTCCTGCCCACCCTCTGCGTAACAGGGTGGCCCAAGAACTGCAGACTTCAGTGCTTGGGAACAGCCAGCCTTCAGGAATGCTTGTGAAGCCCGTCGCCCTGACAGGTAGACAGGAGTCCCACTGATTCAGAGTTCCCCTTCCCTTTCAGGGAAGACCCTGAAGCACTTTGGGGAAGAGTTCCAGTCCTGACTCCACCACCCATTACCTATGCGTCATTGGGCAACTGCTATCCCTTCCCTGAACCTCAGTTTATCAATCTGTAAAACATGGATGATATTAGCATCCACCCCACAAGGTTACTATGCAAATCCAGTGGCTAGTTGCATGTCCAGTTGCCTGGCACAGTGCGCAGGGACAATGCCATGCTGCTGTTACATATTTATTTATTTATTTTGCAGTACTGAGGATTCCCAGCCACTCTACCACTGAGGGGTGCTCTCCCACTGAGCCACATCCCCAGCCCTATTTTGTATTTTATTTAGAGACAGGGTCTCACTGAGTTGCTTAGCATCTCGCCATTGCTGAGGCTGGCTTTGAACTCATGATCCTCTTGCCTCAGCCTCCCAAGCTGCTGGGATTATAGGAGTGCGCTACTGTGCCCGGCTTCCGCTATCCTTTGAGACAAAACTCTTAGGTATCCTAAAATAAGCCCACTCAGTCGGCAGAACAGGTTTTGAACCCATTTAGGGAGTGGGGAATGGCTGGAGCTTCCCTTCATCATTCAAATGGAGAAACTAAGGCTCAGGAAGCAAGTGGGACAGGATAAAACACACCAGGCTTCCCACTCCCTGCCCCAGGCTCTCATCCCTGCCGTGGCTCACTTGAAGACACAGTGCACTTGATACCCTGAGCACTGGGAGCATCTCATCCCATCCTGTGGCTCCACGCAGCCTATTTGGGTCTTGCAACTCTGCCTGTGTCCCCGCTACCCCATGTAGGGATGTTCAGAAGGAAGGAGCCTGTGGTTTGCCCCAGGATGGCAGGTGGCTACTAAGGTCTAATGTGCAGGGGATCTGGGTCAGTCACCTCCTAGAGAGGATGGGGTTCCAGGGGATGTTGGTGGTGTCTGACGTGTCTACCCCCATACTTCCCCTCAGGAACACTGCAGGTCCGCCTCCTGGGCTGTAAACAGCTGCTGACCACCGTGCCTGGACGTTCTCCAGTGGCTGTGCTGGCTGGCAGCCCCTCTGAGGGCTGGATCCGAGCCAGAGCCAAGCAGCAGCGTGGTGGAGCCGAACTGGCCAGTGAGTGGGGAGGAGCCCCGGGGCAGGGGCCTCTGCTTGTACTTGTCCTGAGCCCCAGCTCTGGCCCCACAGGGGAGGTGCTGGCTGTGCTGAAGGTGGACAACCGTGTTGTGGGCCAGACAAGCTGGGGACAGGTGGCTGAGCACTCCTGGGACCAGACCTTTGTCATCCCCCTGGAGCGAGTAAGGCTGGCTTTTGTGTGGTTGTGGGTGGTCGCAGGCCACAGGGTGGAAGACAGCCCAGACAGGGGTTGCTAGTGTGCTCTGTCCCTTACCTGGCCTCTTCGATGTAGGCCCGTGAGCTGGAGATTGGGGTGCACTGGAAGGACTGGCGGCAGCTGTGTGGTGTGGCCTTCCTGAGGCTGGAGGACTTCCTGGACAATGCCTGTCATCAGCTGTCCCTCAGCCTGGTGCCACAGGGGCAGCTCTTTGCCCAGGTGCTAGTGCTCCCTGCCCTCTGACCTGGCGGGCCCCTGGGCACAGGGCTAGGAGAGCCTGCGAGAGTGAGCTCCCCTGCAGAAGAGTGGAAACCGAGGGCCAGAGAGGAGGCTCCAAGACCAAGGATGCCCAGCCACTCTCTAAGGGAAAGTTTGGAGGCCTGTGTCCCTGTCCTGACTCTGCCCTTCTTCATGTGTGACCCTGGTCAAGGACCTCCATTCTCTGAGCCTCCATTTATTCCCTGGCACCAATGAGGACATGGAATCCATTTCTCTGGGTCCTTCTGGCTCTTGTATCCACTGGTGGATACTGGGTGGGAGGATAGGTTGGAGTTGGGTCCAAGGTGGAGGAGGGGCCATGGCAGATGGGGTGGGAAGGGACTAGTTTTCAGCCCTGCCCTTGCCCCTGCAGGTGACCTTCTGTGATCCTGTTATTGAGAGAAGGCCCCGTCTGCAGAGACAGAAACGCATTTTCTCTAAACGCAGAGGTGTGTGGGGGCAAGGGTTCTATGCTGGAGGCGGCAGGTCTGGGGCCACTGGGTCCTGAGACCAGATGCTCCTCTGCCACAGGCCAGGACTTCCTGAGAGCGTCCCAGATGAATCTCAGCATGGCAGCCTGGGGGCGCTTGGTCATGAACCTGCTGCCCCCCTGTAGCTCACCAAGCACCATCTCCCCACCTAAGGGGTGCCCTCACACTCCAGCTACACACCATGAAACCTGCAACCCTGCTTCCCCCAGGTGAGGAGCCAGCTCGTGCCAGACTGTACACTTCTTTGCTGTGTCTGACTCTCTCCAGGCTCAGTTTGTGTCTTTATGTCCCTGTTGCTCTCTATTTTTTGCGGGGAGGGGTGTGCCAGGGATTGAACTCAGGGCCACTCAACCACTGAGCTACATCCCAGCCCTATTTTGTATTTTACTTAGAGACAGGGATTCACTGAGTTGCTTAGTGCCTTGCTTTTGCTGAGGCTGGCTTTGAACTCCTGATCCTGCTGCCTCAGTCTCCTGAGCCCGTGGGATTAACGGGCATGTGCCAGTGTACCCAACCGTGTTGCTCACTTTCTGACTCTCTGTCTCTTCACATGGCTACAAGTCTTTCTCACGAATTGCTCCGTCATCTTGGTCTTGATTCTGTGTCTGCTTCCTCCCTACAGCGATTTCCTGCCCAAGAAGACCTCCTTGGGAGAAGAGATGAAGCCCCCACCCAAGCCCCCACGCCTCTACCTGGCCCAGGAACCAAACCTGGAGGAGACTCCAGTGCCGGTGGGCAGGGCTGGTGGAAGGGGCAGCTGGTGGTGTTGGTGGGAGGGTGGCAGGCCAGTGGGGAAGCAGGGAAGGTGTGCCTGAGCCCCCTGTGCCCTGCTCTCACAGTGCACCAAACGCCCACACATGGCGCCTAGGACCGGACGCACACCCACCCCTGCAGCCTCACCTGTCAGGTACCCATGGGCTCAGGGTCACCTGGAGATGGTCTCAGCTCCCCTGAGTGTGTGTGCAACCAAGCATCCCTCGTTCCTTGGCTCCTTGGGGGCAGTCCCTGGCTCATGCAGGTTCTTGCTTATTTACTGAACCGTGTCATTGAGCTCTGGCTGCATGCTTTGCTGTAGGGCTCTCCCGCAAGCACAGAGGTGGCGACAGCCCAGGCTGGGACATGGGTGGTTGGGAGGAGCTTAGCTGGGGTTTTGTTTTGTTGTTCATTTTCTTTTTCCGGTGGTGCCGGTGGTGCTAGGGGTGGAACCCGGGCCTTGAACATGGTAGGCAAGCTCTCCCACTGAGCACGCCCCTAGCCTCCTCTGTCTGGTGCCTTTTCTCTCTTGCAGGAAAGCCCCCCGGCTTCAGGACTTCCGCTGCTTGGCTGTGCTGGGCCGGGGACACTTTGGGAAGGTAGTGGGCTGAGGGGGCAGTGGAGCAGGTGGGCAGACCCCAGCACATTAGCAGGAGATGCTGGGTCCTGGAGGCAGTGCCTGGGGAGGTGGAGTCTCCCCCTGTCCTGCTCACCTGGAACCCAGCCTCTCTCTGGTCCCCAGGTTCTCCTGGTTCAGTTCAAGGGGACAGGGAAATACTATGCCATCAAGGCTCTGAAGAAGCAGGAGGTGCTGAGCCGTGATGAAATCGACAGGTGTGTGGTGGGACCAGTGTGGGCTCCAAGTACCCGGGCATTGGCTTTGGAGGTACCCAGGGTGGCTGGCCTGGGTTGTGGGCATCCAGACAGCATTTAAAAGCCCTGGGTCTACTAGGCCTGGCACCTGTAGTTGTAAACTATGCTCTTGGGCAGGGCCCCCTTTTCTCTCAGCACCTGTCCTCTTCCGTGACATGGGGCCATGGTAGTTGTGCAGGCTCAGGACCTTTGTGAGCCCTTGGTCCACAGAAACCATCACACTGCCTGCCTGGCACTTTGTACACCCTGTGGGCAGCGTGCTAGGTGGGTGGCAGGTTAGAGCCCCCAGAAGCTGTCTATCCCTCTGAGACCCACGCGCTCCCCTGCAGCCTCTACTGTGAGAAGCGGGTCCTGGAGGCCGCAGGCCGCTCGGGGCACCCCTTCCTGCTATCCCTCGCGGCCTGCTTCCAGACTGCCAGCCACGTCTGCTTTGTGACCGAGTTTGTGCCTGGGGGCGACCTCATGATGCAGATACATGAAGATGTCTTCCCTGAGCCCCAGGCCTGGTGGGTTTTCCTGCCTGCATCTTCTAGCAAACTCTCCCTGGTTCCCTGACCTTCATCCCGCTGCTCCCTGGGTACCCATCAGCAGAAGAGCATAGAGTCAGACCTGGCTCAACTCCCATGGCATTCATGACCTCTGTTCATGCAGCTGTGGGTTTGTCATCACTCCTTTATAGGAGTGTTGGGGAGATGTCAGTAATGCTTATAAATCGCCTGGCATAGAGACCGGCAGCTGGAGTTATTTTTTGCTGTCCAGTGCTGGCGCTGGAGTTAGAAAGGCCTAACTTGGTCTATTAGTTCTGCCCCTAGCTTTTGACTCTGGGCAGGTCCCTTACTGGAGTCTCAGGTCCTTATTTGAATAAAAGACATGGTGAGCATCCCCCCAGACTTTGGGGAGGGTTCCAGGAAAGTAAGGTATGTGGGGCACTTGGCATAGATCCTCGCACAGTTGAAGACTCCAGGAAGGATAGGTCGTTATTGTGCAGCAGCCTTAGCACAGTCTGGGTCCTGTTGTCTGGAGAAGCTCTTCAGCCCAGACATGAGGATCCTCTGTCCCATCTCTCACCCACATCTGAATTCACCTTCCTGGTACCTGGCCTGGGCCTGAGTTCTCCCCCACACCCCCCTCCAGCTTCTACCTGGCCTGTGTGGTCCTGGGGCTGCAGTTCTTACACGAGAAGAGGATAATTTACAGGTACCTTTTTCCCTGGAGGTGCTGAGGGCAGTAAGGGTAGGCAGTAAGGATACTACCCACTCCTGGGCTGCTCTAGGGACCATTGGTGGTCCCTGGGCCTCAGCCTTCTCAGCCTCTTTTGTTTGTCCCCCTGCCCTCAGGGACCTGAAGCTGGATAATCTTCTGCTGGATGCCCAGGGCTTCCTGAAGATCGCAGACTTTGGGTTATGCAAGGAAGGTGGGGCCACCTGTCCAGGTCCACACCCCACTCCTCACCAAGCAGCAGATACCTCCCTTCCAAACCCCAGGCCTTCTGGCGAAGGACTGGGAATGCTGGCCCTTCCTTCCTAGCCTGGACTTGGTCAGAGGAGAATCTGTGGTTAGGGCTGGAGAGGGAGTTGAGTCCTGCCTCTCACGTGACTTTGGCCTGTGAGTTTGGCTGAGACTTAGCTCCCTTATGCAGTCCAATGACCACCTCATGACCATGCATGCCACTTTTTGAGTGTGTGGGGCAGGGCTTGGCATGGGCTTGGCTACCTGGGATCTTAAGGTTTGGCATTGATTTTTTTTTTTTGGGGGGGTACTAGGGATTGAACTTGAGGGCATTCTACAAAGCTACATCCCCAGTCCTTTATTTATGTTGAGACCGGCCCTCACTAATGTACTGAGGCTGGCCTTGAACTTGAGATCTTTCTGCCTCAGGCTCTCAGTAGCTGGGATTATAGGCCTGTGCCACCAGGGCCAGCTGACATTGATTCTTATCACAGAAGTTATAGTGAACAGGTCACACTAAGCAGGCATTGGTATGGATGATGGTCTGCAGGGATCGGCTTTGGGGACCGGACAAGCACCTTCTGTGGCACCCCAGAGTTCCTGGCTCCTGAGGTGCTGACTCAGGAGTCCTACACACGGGCTGTGGACTGGTGGGGGCTGGGAGTGCTGCTCTACGAGATGTTGGTGGGTGAGGTAAGGATGGGTGCGGCTGCTGGGGCCTCAGGTAGGGAGGAATGAAGTGGCGCATATACCCACTGAGTCCCATTTCTACAGTGCCCGTTCCCAGGAGACACGGAAGAGGAGGTGTTTGACTGTATCGTCAATTCAGATGCCCCATACCCCCACTTTCTGTCTGTGCAAAGTCTAGAGCTCATTCAGAAGGTAGGCACTGTGGGGTGAAGGCTGGGACTGACAGCTACTATGGCTTTCGTGCCTCTCGCTACCATGCTCGGGGCCCTGTGGCGCTGCTCACATGGGTACCTGTGGAGGGCAGACAGTGCCTAGGTGGAGCACCCTGAGCGCACACCTGCCCTCCTGCCCAGCTCCTCCAGAAGTGCCCAGAGCAGCGCCTAGGGGCAGGCAAGCAGGATGCCGAGGAGATCAAGGTGCAGCCATTCTTCAGGGTGAGTGGCTTGGACCATAATGGTCTCTGGTGCTTGGTATGGGGGAAACCTGGAGTGCCCCCGGGGACTGCTGTTCCCACCATCTCAGGCACCTCTGCCCTTGTCCCCAGACTACCGACTGGCAGGCCCTGCTTACTCGCACAATCCAGCCCCCCTTCGTGCCCACGCTTTGCGGCCCAGCAGACCTGCGCTACTTTGAGGGAGAGTTCACAGGGCTGCCACCGGCTCTGACCCCGCCTGCCCCTCGAAGGTCCCTCACCACCTGCCAACAGGCTGCCTTCCAGGACTTTGACTTCGTGTCCGAGAGATTCCTGGGGCCCTGAGGGCTCCCCCACACCTTTGCCCATGCCCCTAGACTACTGGAACCCCCACTTGCCCATCTGTGTGCCCACCCAGAGGCCCAGGTTTATAAGCTGTAGGACTCGCGGTGGCAGCCAGAGGGCTACTGTCACTGAGCAAAGTGTGTCCTCTGCCCTTCCTCCTACCTCTCTTCTTCCTGGCCAAAACTGGACCCGAGAGGGTACACAGTAAGGAGTGGCTTGATTTGTCTTTAATATTTGACTTGCTTTATGGATTATTAAATTTGAAAAACTGTGCCCTGGAGGCAGCCTGGTTTGGGGGTAGGGTGGAGTCTGGGGTGCCTTGGTGCTGGAACCCCAATTAGGTCCTCTTTTCTTTCTTCCTTGGGAAGATAGAACCAGCCACTGTCTTGATGCTCTGCTTTGAGGCCAGGGAGGGTGGGCGGGAGTGAGGAGCTCCAGGCCCTCCAAGGGCTGACTCCAGCTAGGTATGATTCCTCTGGTTTTCAGGCACAAGATGGCAAGCTCTGCCTCCAGCAAACCTAAACAGCCTGGCTGCTGCCCTCCTCCACTTCCTCCTCAGCCCAGAGGGTCTCCCAGGACCCTGAGGGCCATCCACAGAAGAAGTGGGCCAGGTTGCGGGTCAGACCACGGTTGAAAGGGTTGCTGGGGCGCTGGCGGAGGTAGGCAATACGGTGTGAGGAGATGAACTCCCAGGAGGTGGTGTTGCTGGCCACCAGATAGAGGTGTGAGGCCAGGAGCAGGCCAGCCACCAGTGAGAAGAAGGACAGCAACAGGAAGGTGGCAAACAGAAGGCCCCTGGTCCGCAGCCACAGCCCCCAGGGCTGGAAGAACTGGAGGCCAGACCTGCAGGACAGGGACAGGGACTCAGAGACAGGAGAAGGCAGGCTGCCCCATCCCTCTCAGCTGGGCCCAGGGAGCCCTGGCTCTGCACACCTGTGGGTACATGCTGCCCACGCTCCCTCCATGCCCTGGGTGGCAGTGGTACCTATACCTACCATGCCAGGTACAGGCCCCACAGAAGAACCACCAGCTGCAGTGCCAGGTAGGCCACGAAGAGCGGGTGATTGCGTTCCCCCACACAGTTCTCCATCCAGGGACAGTGATGGTCATAGCGGCGGACGCAGCGGCGACAATCACGACAGTGTCGGGCCCGCAGGGGCTGCTGTAGGCACAGAGAGGGATGAGGACCAGGGTCAGGGCCTGAACTTGGGAGGCCAGAGTACTGGGGCAGAAGGTCCCATGGGGGTCCCTGCATCACCCACCAGCACCAGGCAGTATCTGCAGCGTCGAAGGGCAATCCCCTGTGGAACCATGGCTGTCTGTTCCTCCTTGGGCTCCTGAAAATAAGGGATAGAGTACGAGATAGGGTCTCCTTAGGAGGTAGATGACACTGGTAGGCATCTTCTTTGGGGGCCAGCTTACTCTGGTTGTGGAGTTTGGGGCCCATCCCATGTAGGTGGGTAGAGCAGAGCACCCTACACTGAGTAAAGCTATGTGACCTTTGCAAGGTTCATCTCTCTGGGCCTTGGTGATTTCCTCATTGCAAGATAAGGGTCTAGGGCTGGCAGGACAGTTTACTAAGATGCCACACAAAAGCCCATAGAATAGGGCCCCTTCATGGAGGCTGTTACTGGGCCTTGGGTCCCTGCTGTCTGGAAGAGGAGTTCAGGCTCCCAGGGGCCCCTAGTTACCTGGGGCTGGGGCTGAGTATTCACATAGCCAGGATCCATAAGCGACACAGCCAGGTAGAGCAGCAGGGAGCCCAGCACCAGGAACAGGAAGGTAAGGGGCAGGAGCAGCTCCCCCTGCTCTTCCCATTGCCGCAGCTCTGGAGAGACCAGAGGACAGTGAGGCTGGTCCCCCAGAGCAGAACAGGAGGGGCAGGGCTGGAGGTGAGGAGGATTTCAGGGAGGTGAAAGGGCTGAGGGCAGCAGGGTGTGGACAGCTCTGAAGCCCTTGGTTATAAAAGGGAGCAGAGAATGAAGCGGGGCTTTTGAGGGACATCCTTTCCTAAAGGAGAGACTTGAGCAAATTTTTAGGCTAAAGCGGGTGGGGGCTCACTGTGGCAGATAAAGGTGGTGGGTAGGGGACTCCAGAGGAGAATGATGGGATGCAGGTGGGTGGGTGAATGGGTGCTACTATGGGACTCTGGAGACGGGCCCCTCCCTTACCAGAGTATTCCCTTGCCTGAGATTGGGAAGCCCGAACTGGGATGCCAGTCCGTGAATGTAGGTGATCCTACTAATCTCATGAATAGGGGGATTGGGAGTCAATTCCTTGGAAGGATGGAGTCTGGTCCAGGGTCAGGGAGATGGGAGCTCTAGTCGATCCTTTAGTGTTTCTTGGGATGGACAGGGCATCTGGCAGTAATCAGGAAGATGCTGGGATTAATTAAGGATCAACTGGTCATCAGGGGAGAGCAGGTGGCTGGGGGAATGACGGATGGGGAGAGGGCCTGGAGCCGGCGGAAACGGGATGAATCTCGGAGTCTCTGGGGAATAGGTGGGGGACCCGGTGAGACCCAAACGTGCGAGGCACTACTCGGGATCGATGGGTCCGGGTCGCTCGGGGTCCGGCTCACCGGTATCGTGCAGGAAAAGCACCAGCGTGATTCCCCAGGTCAGCACGGTGTGGCCGGTTCGCACCAGGACCCCAGGGCTGAGGAGCGCCCAGGGCGCCATCGCCAGGGCCCGGGCCCCACCCGGAAGACGCGCCGGGAGGAACCGGCCCTGGGAGAGGGGCCGCGGTCGCCCTGGGATTGGCGGATCCGGATGGTGGGCAGGGCCGAATTGGCGCAGGGAGGCTGCCTATTGGATGACAGCTGCGGCCGAGTGGGCCCTCAAGCCAACAGGTGCCTGAGGAGGCTGAGGGCGGGGCCGGCGCGCGCGCAGCCGGTAACTCCCCCAACTCCAGCCCCCACCAGCCAGGTAACTTTTCAAAGCCCCTGAGCAGGCGCGCGGCTCTCGGGCTCCGCCCCCACGGCCTCGCGCATGCGTGCAGTTCCCTAGGCGCCCCGCAGTTCCAGGTCCTTGCTATGATTCCAGCGGGCAAAATTGTGCCCATCTCAAAGGTGTGATGGTTAAGACGTCAAAAGAGACAGAGCCTGCCCTACGTTGCTCCGGGACGGCATTCTTACCTCCTTCAGTTCGTTTTCGAATATCGCAAACGTTTGATGGAAAAGTGGAGGTCCTTGGTGCGGATTCTGGCTGAGCGGCCCATCTTTTGGTTAGTGACAGAAATACTGACACTGCCTCTTCCTCCCTGACTGTTCCCGGGCAAGTGTCTGAACTCCCCTGAGCTGTTTTCTTTCTGTATAACAGTACCCCCACCTCCCAAGGTGACTGGAGGATTAAGTACTGGAAGTGCCCTACCTGGCGCTCCTGCTGTTCTAAGCCAGTACCTGCTCCCAGCCCGACTGCTCTCCCTTACAGCCCTGATTCTAGCACACCTCCCACAGATGCCAGCGACCACCTTAAGCCTCCTACTCCTGCAGTGCACTCTTTGGACATGTATTGCCTTGGCCAGTTCAACATCTCCCTTTAAAAAAAAAAAATTTTTTTTTAAAGATGTTAATGGACCTTTATTTTAATCACGTGCTAGGCAAGCGCTCTACCACTGAGCCCCAGCCCCAGCCCTCAACATTCCCTTTTCTATAGAGGAAATGATATCTCAATCCAGCATGGCTCTAGAAGGATTGCCCTTCACTCCATAGCGAGAGCAGGGCATGGGCATGTGACTCAGCAAGGGCAATCATTCCATGAGATTGATTGCTGAAAAAGGGACATTCTTTTGGATTCAAGCAGAAATAATAGGATATAAAGGCATCTTTACATGGAGAGATCCTATCAGGCAGGAGCTAATAGGCCAGCTTATAGGGACATGAATATAAGCAGCATTAAAAGAAAGAGTGAGTCTTAAATGTTTTCCCTCCCCCTCTGGATCCAGCTATGCCTGAAGCTGGTATTGTCTCTAAGTTGCCCCCTTGCATTCATCAATGAATTTCCCACCTTGACTATCCTGGTCAGTTCAAGTTGGGTGTCTGTCACTTGCAACTCAGTCTTGATTACTGTGATGGGTATGTTTCTTAATGTGCCCAGTGGAGAGCTCTAGTACATTATCCAATCAACAGATAATTCTCAGGCTTTAAAATATATATATAGTTGTTGATGGACTTTATTGTCTTTATTTTTATGTGTTGCTGAGGATTGAACCCAGTGCGTCACACATGCTAGGCGAGCACACTACCACTGAGACACAACCCCAGCCCCTAGTTCTCAGGCTTTTATGAGTAAGGCATTATGCTGATGACAAGCTGATCAACTAAAGAGTTAGGATTTTTTTAATGTTTATTTTGTTTTTATGTAGTGCTGAGGATCAAGCCCAGTGCCTCACACATGCCAGGCAGGCGCTGTACCACTGAGCCATAATCCCCAGCCCCTAGGATAGATTCTGATCAGTGTTATACCATTGCAACATGGAAGAGGACCCAATGTGAACTAATTCAACTTCTATTTGTGTACCCTGACATTTAAAAGGTAGAATGAGCCAGCGACTCAGGAATTTGAGGCAGGATCCCAAGTTCAAGGCCAACCTGAGCATCTTAGCAAGACCCTAAATAAAACTAAAAACAGCCAGGTGCAGTGGCACATGCCTGTAATCCCAGCAGTTTGGGAGGGTTGGGCAGCTTAGGCAGGATTGCAAGTTCAAAGCCAGCCTCAGCAACTTAGTAAGGTCCTAAGTGACTCAGTGAGACCTTGTTGGTAAATAAAATATAAAAAAGGGCTGCACATATGGCTCAGAGGTTAAATGCCCATGAGTTCAATCTCCAGTACCAAAAAATAAATAAGTAAATAAAAAATAAATAAATAAAATAAAACAGGACTAGGAGTGTAGCTCAGTGGCAGAGTACTTGCCCAGCATGTGCAAGGCCCTGGGTCCAGGCACCAGTACTGCAGTAGTAAATAAATAAAAATAAAAGGTAGAATGAGGGAGTAGGGAAAGGGAACCTAGGGGATTTGAACAGTCAGGGAAATGAAAAATGGCAAAGTCTTGGTCAATGCTGATGCTGGGAGGCCAGCCCTGTGTCCATAAGGGTGGAGTCAGGATTCCAGCCTCCGGTGGCCTCTGTGGATCACATTTCAGAGGAGCAGCTCTCTGGTTCTTGAGAATGCCTCTCCTGAGTTGTAGGAGATAGATTCACATTTATAAAGGCACAGAGGAAGGATTCACCATCATAAACCCTTTCAGTAAGTGCTCCAAGGGTCTTGCGGAGCAGGGGTTCTGGTGCCAGGTGTTGTCGAGGAAAAACTCAAGTTCTTTTGGCAGCCTTGAGCTTTCCTACGGGCGGGCAGTTAAAGGGATCTAGGGTTGGCTGTCCTAGGGATGCGACCTTGAGATGTTAGACACTATGTTAATGTTTGTCAGGGAGGGGAGTGAATAAAATCATGTGGGTTAAGAGTCAGTAGTTTTTTGTTTTGGTTTTTTTAGTTGTAGTTGGACACAATGTCTTTATTTTACTTCTTTATTTTTATGTAGTGCTGAGGATTGAACCCAGGGCCTCCACGCTGGGGAGCGCTCTACCCCTGAGCCACAATCCCAGCCCAAGAGTCTGTTGTTTTTATAGACCAAGGTTGAGGCCCTGTCAGGAAGAGGCAGAGCATAGCAAGCTGGCTTGTCTCTCCTGGAGCCCAGACTCTGAACTAGAAAGGAAGCAGCTGGGACTGATCTGTCACACTGATGGCAAAGCCCTTGGGAGAACAGCCCCCAGGCCATCCCGTGTGTGTGTTCCTTCTGAGGCCAGGAGTTCCAGCTGGTCCTCATTCTGGGAGCCCAGCTGCACTCCAGGGTGGGTCTCTGCTGCCTGCACCTGAAACATCTGAACCAAGCCAGAGTTCAGACTGAGCTCTGTCTTCGTGGAGCTTGTGTCTTACTGGGGCAGAGATAAGAAGAAATCAGGAGCTGGGGTGTGGCTCGTTGATAGAGCCCTTGCCTACCATGCACAAGGTCCTGGGTTCCATCTTCAGCACCACAGAAATGGAAAAAAAAAAAAGTGGCTGGGGGCATCCAGTGGGTCTAGTTTGATGATCCTGGCCTGGGCCCCCTTAGCCCTCTTGCATGAAGGTTGTATTCTTTTTTTTTTTTTTTTTTAGTTTTCGGTGGACACAACATCTTTATTTGTATGTGGTGCTGAGGATCGAACTTGGGCCGCACGCATGCCAGGCGAGCGCGCTACCGCTTGAGCCACATCCCCAGCCCGAAGGTTGTATTCTTGAACATCTTTTGCTTGCTATTGAACTTCATATAGAAATTTGTACTGATTCTGATTCCCAGGGGAGATCACATTTCTCATGGAGCTCTGCAAAATTACTCTCTGGTTGAGACATTAGTCTTCTTTTGAAGAAGTGGGTCATGTTTGAGGACCCCAACTGGAAAAATATAATTTCTTCACCAGTGAAACATCAGATTTGACCCTGAGTTGTAGCAAATATTCCAAAGCTGGCTTTGGATGTGTCTCCCCCAAAATTCATGTGTTGAAATTTAGCTTCTTTGGTGGTGGTATTAAGAAGTGGGACCCTGGGAAAGTGATTAAATCATGGGGGCTCCACTCTCATGAATTGGATTAGTACCTTGTAAAAGGGCTGGAGGCAACTAGGTTAGCCCCTTTGCCCTTCTGCTCTGATCTGCCCTGTGAGGACAGGAGGGCATAACATTCCTCCTCTCTGGAGGATTCAAGGCATCATCTTGGAAGCAGAGAGCAGCTTCCATCAGATACCAGTCTTCTTGCTGCCATCTTGATCTTGGACTTCCCAGCCTCCAGAACTGAGAAATAAAATTCTGTTCTTATTTATTTAAAAAAAATTAATTGAACATGGATACAATACCTTTGTTTTACTTATTTTTTTAAGACTTTCTTTTTTGGTTGTATATGGATACAATACCTTTATTTTGTTTATTTTTATGTGGTGCTGAGGATTAAACCCAGTGCCTCACACATGCTAGGCTAGCGCTCTACCACTGAGCCACAATCCTAGCTCCTATTTGTTTTTTTAGGTGGGGTCTTGCTCTGTTGTCCAGGCTGCATCAAACTCCTGGGCTCAAGTGATCCTCCTTCCTCAGCCTTCATAGTAGCTGGGATACTGGCACGGGTCACTGCTCAGCCCCTTCCTTCCTTCTTTCCTTCCTTCCTTCCTTGTACTGGGGAGGGGAGCCAGGGACACTGTATCACTGAGCCACATGCCCAGCCCATTTTATTTTTTATTTTGAGACAGGGTCTTGCAAACTTTCTGAGGTTGGCTTCAGAGTCCTCCTGCCTCGGTCTCTTGAGTTGCTGGGATGATAGGTGTGCACGCCACCGTGCCCCGATTTTTTGTTTTGTACTGGAGACTGAACTCAAGGATGCTTTGCCACTAAATTATATCTCCAGCCCTTTTTTTTTTTTAATTTTGAGACAGGGTCTCAAGAAAGTTGCTGAGGTGAGGCTCAAACTTGTGAGCCTCCTGCCTCAGCCTCCCAAATTGCTGAGATTACTGGTGTGCGCCACAGCATCCAGCCTCAATATCTATTCTTTAGAGCTTACCAGTCTCATATATTTTGTTTTAGCAGCCCAGACACTCCCCTGTTTTCCACTCATCCAGCAAGTGTTTTTTAAAAAATATTTATTATTTTTTAGTTGTACCTGGACACAATATCTTTTATTTTATTTTTATGTTGTGCTGAGGATTGAACCCAGGGCCTCACACATGCTAGATGAG